CCCCAAAACCCCAAAACCCCAAAACCCCTTTATGCCAAATTTAATTAAAATAAAGTAGATGAAGAAATAAATAAAATAATTTTTTATTGTTTATATATTAACTTTCTAATGAAAAATAATGTTTCTTAAATGAGAGCAGCTGTTTCCAGGGTAAATTAACTGACACTCTTAGGGATAGTTATTGGATTGTCTCTGAAATAGGTTCAAAGCTTGGTTTAAGGAGAACCATATACAAGTTCACTTTTAGATTGCAACCACTTCATCGACTAATTTGACTACACTATAAACACTAGATATCAAGGTGTGCCTGAAAAGATGAAGCCCTATCAAGGCAACAACTATGAAACAATCACATGTGATTTCCCTGGACCTTGTCCCGACGGGGTAACTAGGCCTGCTTGCACTTGGCTTAGGTTTCTTACAGTCACTTGTGAAATCTCTGGAGATGGAGCTTTAATTACCATCCTCACCAATTCAATGCCAAACCATTGTTACAGATCAGATAGCTATTATCCTAAGGGGGACTCAGGAGAGTATCAATTTTATGGAATGAATCGAATTCAGTGGAATTTAAAACCCCGTGAAATGGCTAAGGCTGCAATTAACTATGATAACAAAGATTTTTACTTCACTGACTTGAGATCTCAAGCTGATATTGATGGAGTACTATGCATTGAAAACTGGGCATAAAAAGAGTTGCTCGACACCAACGTCCACTATGCAGAGGTAATCAAAGGGCAAACCTAAACATCAAATAATTGGAAAATAGACAGTTCTAATGTAGGACAGTTCAATTTGTTAGGCTTGCCAAATAGTGATGCAGTAGTCGGCATTGCTCTTAATGGAGTGTTCTTATTCTCTGGCACTAGCAAGTACGGCTATGATGCTTACTTTCCAAGAGCTTATGGACTTAATACAGATCCTCGATAAATAGAATTCGATGTGTGTTTAGGCTCAGTCGAGAGTTATAACACTTATAGATATCATATGTATTCTCCGTGTATATATGAAACTAGCATCAGGACTAAGGTTATGATGTGCAAGGAAGATGGAGCATGCTCTTTTGATTTGAGAACATATGCTGCAGCAAATACTCCAGTTGAAGCTAGAGTTATTCTACCAATAGGTCTGGCGAAAGATGGTCGAGTGATATACGGGCCATACAGGCAAGACAGATAGCTATGGCAACCATGCGATGTCGACATTTGCAATGGAAGATACTTTGGCACTTATTATGGCTACGTTGCTACTATGTTTCATCCTTATATTTTAGGGTGCTTCGGCCCAAGTAACACTGTCAAAAACTATTATCAACAATGCTCTTCAAACGCTAAAATCTGTGCTTATGCTCAAACAAATTTCTCTTTTTCTTATATTACTCTGGCTTTGTTAAGCATGGTACTATTCTTCACAAGTATTTATTGAGGAATATACTTAAAATACAACATGTAACTTAATATTAACTGTTAATGCACTGTTCCTCTCAAAATTCACTACAATAATTTACTTAATAATATATTTTTAACTGAGGCTTTATTATCACATTAACTTCGAATTATTGATTTTCGCACTTTCATACTTCTACGGGGTTTTGGGGTTTTGGGGTTTTGGGGG